GAGGCAGGAGAATTGCTTGCATCCGGGAGGTGAAGGTTGCAGTGAGCCAAGATTGCGCCACTGCACTCCAACCTGAGTGACAGAGCAAGACTCTGTCTCAAAAAAAAAAAAAAAAAAAAGAGTTTGGAAGTATGCCTTCTTCAGTTTTTTGGAAGAGTTTGAGAATGACTGATATTACTTCTTTATTTTATACATTTTATTTATTTATTTTTGAGACAGAGTCTTGCTCTGTCACCCAGGCTGGAATGCAGTGGTGCAATCACAGCCCACCGCCTCAACCTTCTGGGCTTAAGCAGTCCTCCTGCCTCAGCCTCCTGAAGAGCTGCAACTAGAGGCATGCAACAACCTCACCCGGCTAAGTTAAAATTTTTTTTTTTTTTAGAGATGGGGTCTTGCTATGTTGCCCAGGCTGGTCTCAAACTCCTGGCTTGAACTCAAGCAGTCCTCCTGCCTTGGCCTCCTAAAGTGCTAGGAGTACAGGCCTGAGTCACGACACCCGGCCTAAAACATCTTGTAACTGGCTATTTTAAGCTGTTAAGAACTTAACTTTGAGTGCATTAAAAAACTCTACACTTTCACTCCACCCCCTCACCACATTTTATGGTTTTCATGGTATAATTTATTTCTTTTTATAATGTGTATCTGTTAACAAATTATTGTAGATATTATTTTAATAATTTTACCTCTTAACCTGTATACTACATGTATAAGCAATCTACACACCACCATTACAGTATTACAGTGTTCCGAATTTGACTGTATACTTACTTTTACCAGGAAGTTTTATACTTTCATATGTTTTCATGTTACTAATTAGCATTCTTTTCTTGCAGCTTGAAAAACTCTCTTTAGCACAGAGGTGTCCAAGGGAACAAATACAGTCGTGAGTTCTTAGTTTCTGTTTCTAGTTGAGCCAGTAAAGCCCCTTCCTCATCCCTTTTTTCTGCTTATCACTAGACACAGAAACTAAAAACCATGGCTTCAGGCTGCTAAAAACTTAAAACAAAACAGAACAACAACAACAAAATAAGGCGAGTTAGACAAGCTAACTTTAGCATTTCTTGTAAGACAGATCTGGTGGCGATGAACTCCCTCAGCTTTTGTCTTGGAAAGTCTCTTGTCTCTCCTTTCATTTCTTGCTTTTTAATTATTATTTTTTAAATTTCAGTTGGTTTTTGGGGAACAGGTGGTGATTGCCTACATGGGTAAATTCTTTAGTGGTGATTTCTGAGATTTTGGTGTACCCATCACCCAAGCAGTATACACTATACCCAATGTGTAGTCTTTTATCCCTCACCCCCTCCCACCCTTTCCCCCGAGTGCCCAAAGCCCATTGTGTCATTCTTATGCCTTTCCATCCTCATAGCTTAGCTCCCACTTGTGATTGAGAACATATAATGTTTGGTTTTCCATTCCTGAGTTACTTCACTTAAAATAATGGTCTCCGATTCCATCCAGGTTGCTGCAAATGCCATTATTTCATTCCTTTTTATGGCTGAGTAGTATTCCATGGTATATATATTACCACAGTTTCCTTATCCACTTGTTAGCTGATGGGCATTTGGGCTGGTGCCATGTTTTTGCAGTTGTGAATTGTGCTGCTATAAACATGCGTGTGCAAGTGTCTTTTTCATATAATGACTTTTCCACTCCTTCATTTCTGAAGGGCGGCTTTGCTGGTGCAGTCTTTTTGGTTGAAAGGTTTTTTTCCTTCAGCACACTGAATAGATTATTTCACTTTTCCATGGCCTATAAAGTGTCCACTGAGAAATCTGCTGCTAGCCTTATTAGAACTCCTGTACCTATTATTTGCTTCTTTTCTCTTGCTACTTTCAAGGATCCTCTGCTTGTCCTTGATTTTTGACAGTTTGATTATATGTTTTTGTATAGTCTTGTTTGAATTTAATTTGATTGGAGAACTTTGACCTATGCCTGGATATTTTGTATCTTTCTCCAAACTTGGAAAACTTTCTGCTATTACTTTTTAAAGTAAGCTTTCTGTTCATTTGTCTTTTTCTTCTCCTTCATGAACTCTATAATTCAAAAATTTGAAGCTGTCCTATAAATCCCATAAGCTGTCTTATTTCTTTTTCATTTTTCCCCCTATGACTGTATGTTTTCAAATAATGTGTCTTCAGGTTCACAGATTCTTTTTTCTGCTTTATCAGTTCTGAGTGGGATATCCCACTCAGGGGATATCAACAGAGTACCTTGTGAGCATGAGATGATTATAACTATGAACTTTAACAAGACTTTATCTTTGACCTTTTGGCAATCTTCTTCTTGCCCATGGGCAGCTGTCATTTGCAGGGATAGCAATCAATTCCAGCCACCAGAGCATGGCTGTAGGGGTGCCCTTATCAACGTTCTTCATGGTGACAGCTTTGTGTCCAGAGTAGCATTCAGCCAGGACCAGTACCACTTTCCCACGTTTCATGAACTTGCCCATTTCAACAGCAACCAACCAAGCCTATAGCAGAAAACACAAAAAAAAACAAAAAAAAACCCTAATTTTTAAAATAATTTCAGTCTCTCTGTTAAATGTTTCATTTTATTCATTTTTTCATGATACCATTGAATTGTCCCTGCATATTTTCTTGAAGTTTTGAGCTTCCTTTATATAATTACTTTGAATTCTTTGTAAGCCATTTCATAAGTCTCCTCTTTTTAGGGTCAGTTACTGGTGCTTTCTTTTGTTCCTTTGGTGGTGGTGTGTTTCCCTTTCCCTGATTGTTCTTTTTTTTTTTTTTTTTTTGAAGCAGAGTCTTGCTCTGTCACCCACCCACTCCAGGCTGGAGTGCAGTGGCGCGATCTCAGCTCACTGCAACCTCTGGCTCCCTGGTTCAAGCTATTCTCATGCCTCAGCCTCCCGAGTAGCTGGGATTACAGGCATGTGCCACCATGCCCATCTAATTTTTGTATTTTTAGTAGAGATGGGATTTCACCATGTTAGCCAGGCTGGTCTCGAACTCCTGACCTCAAGGGATCTGCCCGCCTCAGCCTCCCAAAGTGCTGGGATTACAGGTGTGAGCCACTGCACCCAGTTGATTGTTCTTTTTAAAAACAAAACAAAACAAGATTTATTTTGAGACAGAGTCTCACTCTGTCACCCAGGCTGGAGTGCAGTGGCACGATCTCGGCTCACTGCAACCTCTGCCTCCCAGTCTCAAGTGACCCTCCTGCCTCAGCCTTCCAAGTAACTGGGACCACAGACATGCGCCACTACATCCAGCTAATTTTTTTGTATTTTTTGTACAGACGGGGTTTCGCCACGTTGCCCAGGCTGGTCTCGAACTCCTGAGCTCAAGCAATCCACCTGCCTCGGCCTCCCAAGGTGTTGGGATTATAGGCGTTGAGCCACCACGCCAGGTTAAAAAATTTTTTTCCTTAAAAAATAGAGACAGGGTCTGGCTATGTTGCCCAGGCTGATCTCAAACTCCTCGGCTCAAGCAGTCTGCCTGCCTCGGCCTCCCAGAGTGCTTGGGATTATAGACCTGAGCCACCGTGCTTGGCCTCCCTGATTGTTCTTGATCCCTGTGGCTGTGCATTGGTGTCTGCACATCTGAAGAAGTGAAAACTCATTCAAGTCTTTGCAGACTGGCTTTGTCTGGGAAAACCCCTCACCAGTCAGCCTGTCCAGAGGTTCTGGACTGGCCATCTGGCATGTTCTGCGGGTGGGCTTGCTGCTGGAGTCCTCACGCAGGCTGGTCTGGTGTCTGGGTTAGCAGGTGGGTGGACCCGATGTCTGGGTCCATGGGGTTTGGCCTGGAGCCTGGATCCAAACAGATGGGCCTGTTGATTGGGTATGTGGCGGTGGGCCTGGAGCCTGGGTCCACAAGGGCACAGGTGGTTCCTGGATCTATGGGAGCCAACTTCATGTCTGGGTCCACAGGGGCTGACATGGTGCTGAGGTGGATCTGGAGCCTAAATCTGCAGTGTCAAGCCTGGGTTCTGGGTCCATGGGGGCTGGCCTGGATCCTGGGTCTGCAAGGGTGGTCCTAAAGTCTCAGTCCACGAGAGTTGGTTTGGCACCAGAGCTTACTAGGGTGGGCCTGAACCCTGGGTCAGCTAGAGCCTTTGACCATGAGGACCAGCCTGGAGCCTGGGAACTGTGTGGTGCTGGGGCAGGTGTGGAGCCTGGATTCGCTAGACCCAGCCCAGTACTGGGATCTACTGGGATAGGTCTGGACCCTGGGTCTGTTGGAGCGTGGGGCTGCAGGGACCAGCCTGAAGGGTGGGGCCACAGAGATCAGCCCACCACTGGGCAGGCCTAGAGTCTGTGTCTGTGCGTGCCAGCCTGGTACTTGAATCTAGAAGTGCTCTCCTGGTGCTGGGGCAGGCCTGCAGCCTAGGGCTATGTAGGTTGACCTGGTTCTGGGCTGGGCTGGAACCTAAGGTGGGCCTGGAGCCTGAGACCACATGGCCTGGCCTGGCACTGGGTGGGCCTGGAGCCTGTGTCCACAAGGTCTTGTTGGATGCTGAGTCTGCAGGTGCTGGCCTGATGACTAGTGCTGTGGGGGCTGGCCTGGTGCTGGGGTGTGCCTGAAACCTGGGGCCATGGGGACCAGCCCCATGCTGGGGGTGGTCTGGGACCCATGGCCACCTGGGCTGGCCTGGCCCTGGAATATGCCTGGTACCTGAGTCTGTGGGGGCTGTCCTGGCACTGGAGTGAGTCTGGAGACAGACTGCCAGGCAGGCCTGGAGTGTGAGGCAGTGGAATCTGGTCTGGTGCTGGGGCAGGCCTGGAGGCTCGGTCTACAGGTACCAGCCTAGAGGCTTGGGCTGTGGTTGCCTGCCCGGTGCTGGATTTGACTGGGGCAGGCCTGGTGTTGGAGTCCAAGGGAAAGCCCAGTGCTTACTTCCTTTCTCTTCCAGCGAAAAAAAAGTGTCTTCTTTCCCACTGCACTGCCTGGGGTTGGGGGAGGGGTGGCATGGATAATGTGTAACTGTTTTTCCTACCCTCTTCAATGTGTCTTTTCTTATTTCTGTGCTACACCCAGGTGCTGTCAACTCTCACCTGGTTTCCTTAGCTCTGGTGAAGTATTTTCGTGTATGGATTGTTTTTCAAATTGATGTTTCTGTTGGGGGATGAGCACTGGAAAGTCCTGCTCTGCCGTCTTGCTGCCATCTGGACTCCCAAGGTTTGTTGTTGATCTGTTTTTGTTTTTGTTGCTGTCGTAGTTCTTTTTCTTGTTGCTGTTTGTTTGTTCAGTGACTTCTCTGAACTCATTTTGTGGATTCAGTCTCCCCCTGCATTATGTGGCCTCTGAGTTGCCTGCCAGCAGCCTTTTTTCCTTTCAGTTCTTGTTTTTCTTTTTAAGCCTGGATTCCTAGGGGTCACACCTGGTGAATAAATATAATTTGGTGGTCAGCTAGTGATTGGTCAGAATATATCCTTAAATGCCTTGCCTGTACATCTTCCAACCCTTGCCAAGAGGATCTGTGTTAAGAAAGCATTGCCTTCAAAGTCCAGCCAGTGTACGAGACAGCCTTCGCTTTCACTTTCTACTTGCACAGGGCCTCGCAGTCAGCCAGAAGTGAGTGGGTTGGGTCCTCTCCTATCCCAGCTCTTTCCTTGGCATGCATATAGCCTTGAGTATATGCACAGCCCTTTAGATCCCTAGGAGTATGTCAGAGCTCTTCGAAGTTTCCTATGGTTGTCTCATTCTCTAGGATTTCCTGTAAAATTCTCTAAGTGGTCAGATTTCTCCGACGTCTGGAATTTGGTCAGCTTTTGGATCCTGTACCACTGAGCTAGGGAGGGTTGGGGAGGGAGGATGGGGATCACCACAAGTGAAGTGTTGTAGACCTCACTGTCTTGCCAAGATTCTGTAGCTTCTTTGGATGATGATTTTCACTTTATTCTGTGGCTTTGGTTAATTGCCAGAGTTCTAAAATGGTTGATTTGAATTGATTTGACCATCTTTTCATTGTTTTAGAGGGAAAGTGAGTTCATCGAAGTCCTCGCTCTGCCACTCCTATCTTTAAAAAAAACTTTAAATCCTCTTCATCTCACATGCCCTTGCAGTTATGACTTCATTTCTCATTTCCCCTAACGGCAAAACTCTTCAAAGAGTTTTCCTTCCTCACTTTCTCTACCCTTCTCCTATATGCTGTTCATATAACATGTATTAGATATATGATAAAAGAATAGGCAGGGCGCGGTGGCTCACGCCTGTAATCCCAGCACTTTGGGAGGCTGAGGCGGGTGATTCACTTGAGGTCAGGAGTTGAAGACCAACCTGGCCAACATGGTGAAATCCCGTCTCTGCTAAAAATATAAAAATTAGCTGGGTGTGGTGGCAGTCACCTGTAATCCTGGCTACTTGGAAGCCTGAGGCAGGAGAATCGCTTGAACCCAAGAGGAGGAGGTTGCAGGGAGCCAGGGTCACGCCACTGTACTCCAGCTTGGGGGACAGAGTGAGATTCCATCTCAAAAAAAAAAAGAAACAGAATATATACATTATATACACAAGTTATAAATATAATAATATGAAAACCCAAGAACTCACAACCCTACCCAAAAACATTAATGATATCATCTACCCATGTGTCATTTTCTGTTCCATTCCTCACCTTCCCCACCACTCCACTCCTGAAATTCCTACTCTGCTAAGCCTTGTGCTTAACATTCACTTACCCTTTTTCATATATGGGATTTTTTTTTCATATTTGTGGGGATGCTTAACCAATACATTGTTTATTTGACTCGGTTATGAGCCTTGTAAAAATAGTATCATACTGTGTGCGGGGTTTTTTGTTGTTGTTGTTTTGTTTTGTTTTGTTTTGTTTTTGAGATGGAGTTTCACTTGTCTCCCAGGCAGGAGTACAGTGGTGTGATCTGGGCTCACTGTAACCTCTGCCTCATGGGTTCAAGCGATTCTTCTGCCTCAGCCTCCCGAGTGGCTGGGATTACAGGTTTGCACCACCACACCCAGCTAATTTTGTATTTTTAGTAGAGTTGGGGTTTCACCATGTTGGCCAGGCTGGTCTTGAACTCCTGATCTCAGGTGATCCACCCGCCTCGGCCTCCCAAAGTGCTGGGATTACAGGCGTGAGCCGCCACGCCTGGCCCTGTGTGGTCTTCTGAGACTTAACTTTTTTCACTCAATATTATGTTTCTAAGATTCACCTATGTTGTTGCATGTAGCTAGAGTTTGTTTACAGTATTCCTTTGGGTGATCATAAGACACATTATCCATTCATCCATTGTTGGACATTTGGGTCATTTCCAGCTTTTTGCTCTTATGGACAGTGCTACCATGAGCATTCTTAGGTGTATGTCCTGGGACACATGCACACCCATTCTTCTAAGGTATATAGACCTAAGAATGCGATTGTTGGTTAATAGGTCATCCAAAAGTTCGGCTTGACAGGATTATGCCAAACTGGTGGTACCAATTTACACTACTTTCAGAAATGTATAAGAGGTCCCATTGATCCACATCCTCAGACACTTGATATTGTCCTCTTTCTTATTTTTTGTTATTATACTGAGTGTAAAATGGTATTTCATTGGGGACATATTAGCATTTTCTTAGTCATTAATGTGATCGAGCATCTTTTAATGGTCCTTAGCCACACATTTCCTCTTCTGTGAAAGGACTGTTAATATCTTTAGCCCATTAAAATTTTTCTGGGTACAATGGCTCATGCCTGTAATCCCAGCACTTAGGGAGGCCGAGGCAGGCAGATCACTTGAGCCCAGGAGTTCGAGACCAGACTGGGCAACATGGCGAAAACCCAACTATACAAAAAATACAAAAATTATCTGGGTGCGGTGTGCATGCCTGTGGTCCCAGCTACTTGGGAAGCTGAGGTGGGAGGATGGCTTGAGCCCAGAAGGTGGTGGCTACAGTGAGCTGAGATCACGCTACTGCACTCGAGCCTAGGTGGCAGAACTAGACTCTGTCTCAAAAAAAAAAAAAAACTTTTTTTTTTTTTAGATGGGTTCTCACTACATTGCCCAAACTGGTCTTAAACTCCTGTGCTCAAAGGATCCTCCTGCCTCCATTTCCCAAGTAGCTAGGATTATAGATGTGCATCACTGTGCCTGGCTAAATCATTTTTTATTGATTTGTGGGTGTTCTTTATGTGGATCCTCATCATTGGTCAGTTGTATGTGTTGAATAGCTTCTGTAATTTTGAAGCTTTTTTAATGGTGTCTTTACATGAGCAGAAATTCTTTTCTTTTCTTTCTTTCTTTCTTTCTTTCTTTCTTTCTTTCTTTCTTTCTTTCTTTCTTTCTTTCTTTCTTTCTTTCTTTTCTTTCTTCTTTCTTTTTTTTGAGACGGGGTCTCACTCTGTCACCCAGGCTGGAGTGCAGTGGTGGGATCACAGCTCACTGTAGCCTTGACCTCCCTGGGCTCAGGTGATCCTTCCACCTCAGCTTCCCGAGTAGCTCGGACTACAGGCATGTGCCATGCCTATAAATTAGCCATACCTGGCTAATTGTTATTTTTTATTTTTTGTAGAGACAGGGTCTCCCTGTTGCCCAGGCTAGTCTTATTTTTCAGTTGAACAAATCCATCTTTTCTGTATTATAGCCAGCAATTTTTTGTCTTGTCTTCTCTAACCTACAGTTATAAACATTTTCTTTATTTTCTTCTAATAAAAGTTTTAAAAGTTTACCTTCCACATTTAAGTCCAAATGGAATTGGTTTTTGTGTGGTATAAGGTAGGGAGCTGGTTTCATTATTTTCCATATGGATAATGTAATAATCTGAGAAGCTACCTCTGGCCTGGAGTATCAAAGTTCCATATCCATATAGATCTGTTTCTGGCCTCTCTTTGCTGTTGGCCAGCTTATTGTCCCTGAACCAGTACTGTACTGCCTTAATTACCTTGCCTTCATAATAAATCTTGATATTTGATAAAGCAAAATCTTCCCATCTTATTTTTCTTCAGAAGTATCGTGTATTCTTAGCCCTTTGTTATTTAATTAATTAATTTATTTATTTTGAGATAGGTTCTTGCTCTGTCACCCAAGCCGGAGTGCAGTGGTGTGATCTGGGCTCATAGCAGCCTCGACCTTCTGGGCTCAAGTGGTCCTCCCACCTCAGCCTCCTGGGTAGCTGAGACTACAGGTACATGCCATTATGCCCAGCTAATTTTTGTACTTTTTGTAGAGACAGGGTCACCCCATGTTAACCAGGCTGGTCTTGAACTCCTGCACTCAAGCAATCCACCCACCTTGGCCTCCCAAAGTGCTGGGATGACAGGTGTGAGCCACCTTGCCCGGCCCTCTGTTATTTTATTTTATTAATTTAGTTATTTGAGACAAAGTCTTGCTCTGTCACGCAGGCTGGAGTGCAGTGGTGCAGTAAGCTCACTGCAGCCTCAACCTCCAGGGCTCAAGCAGTCCTCCCACCTCAGCCTCCCAAGTAGCTGGGACTACAGGGGCATGCCACCACACCCAGCTAATTCTGGTATTTTTTTGTAGAGACAGGGTTTCCCCATGTTCCCCAGGCTGGTCTCAAACTCCTGGCCTCAAGTGATCCTCCTGCCTTGGCCTCCCAAAGTGCTGGGATTACAGGGGGGGTTACCATGCCCGGCCCCCCTTTGTTTTTTTTTAAACACATTTCAGAATCAACTTGTCATGTTCTATAAAAATGTTGGAATTGCAATGAATCTGTAGATCATGTTGAAGAGAATTGATGTTTATGGTGTTGAGTCTTCCTCCCTAAGAGCATGACATAGCTCTCTATTGTAAATAAATTATTGAACGTCTTTTGGCAGAGCTTTATATTTTTCTGCATAAGGTCTACATATCTTGTGTTAGATTTATTTATTGGTGCTTTATGGGTTTGCTGCTATTATAAGTGGGATCTTTTATTGTATTTTTTATCTCTTTTGCAGGTATATAGAAATGAAGTTAGCTTTTGTATATTAGTACTATAACCATTTGCCTTATTACACTTTTCATTATTTATTTTATTTATTTATTTATGTATTTATTTATTTATTTTTGAGGTCTCATCTTGCTCAGTCATCCAGGCGGGAGTGCAGTGGCGCGATCTCAGCTCACTGCAACCTCCGCCTCCCGGGTTCAAGCGATTCTCCTACTCAGCCTCCCCAGTAGCTGGGATTACAAGCACAGGCCACCACGTGGGCTCAGCTAATTTTTTGTATATTTAGTAGAGACGGGGTTTCACCATGTTGGCCAGGCTGATCTCGAACTCCTGACCTCACATGATCCACCCGCTTAGGCCTCCCAAAATGTTGTTTTTTGTTTGTTTGTTTGTTTGTTTTTGTTTTTTGAGATAGAGTCTCGCTCTGTCTCCTAGTCTGGAGTGCAGTGGTGTGATCTCGGCTCACTGCCACCCCCACCTCCCAGGTTCAAGCAGTTCTCCTGCCTCAGCCTCCTGAGTAGTTGGGATTACAGGCTCCCACCACCATGCCCGGGTAGTTTTTGTATTTTTAGTAAAGACGGGGTTTCACCATGTTGGCCAGGCTGGTCTCAAACTCCTGACCTCAGGTGATCTGCCCGCCTCGGCCTCCCAAAGTGCTGGGATTACAGGAGTGAGCCACCACGCCTGGCCCTAAACTTATTTTTAAGTAGGTTTTTATTCTGGAATAGTTCTAGATTTACAGAAAAGTTAGTTAAGAGATAGTACAGAGAGTTTCTGTATATTCCTCACTGTAGTACATTTATCAAAAATAAGAAAACAACATTGATATATTACTACTACCTAAACATCAGACTTTACATGGCTTTATCAGTTTTTTTCACTGGGGTCCTTTTTTTGTTCTGGGATCCAATTCAAAATATCACATTGGATTTAGTTGTCATGTCTCCATAGTGTCCTCTGGTCTATGACAGTTTCTCAGTCTGTTCTTGTTGGTTTTTTTTGTTTTGTTTTGTTTTTTTCCTCCAGAAGTCCATTAAGCTGAGAATGTCCTTGTTTTCATGACCTAACAGTTTTAAGGAATACTGTTGAATGTTCCTCAGTTTGTATTTGTCTGAAGTTTTGCTTATATTTAGACTGGAGTTGTTTTTGGAAAGAACACCAGAGTTTAAATGCCTTTCTTATCAGATCGTATCAGAGGTACCTGTATCCATTGGCATCCCTGGTTTTGTGAACCTTCATCCCTTGGTTAAGGTGGTGTTTGCCGGGTTTTCCCCCTGGCAAGTTGCTGCCTTTCCCTTTTCATAGTCTGTTCTTTGGAAGAATCTAGCCCACCCGCAAGGAGGCGGGAAGAATTGAGCTACAGGTCCTGGAAGGAGGGGGTGTATCTGTGTATATCATTTGAAATTCTTCTGTAAACATTTGTCTCTCATCCCTTATTTATTTACTCTGTCACTTATATCAGTATGAACTCATGCATTTTTATTTAATAATTTGAGTTATAAATCTAATACTGTGTTCTTTGTTTTGTTGGTCAAATCAGTCCAGTTGTGGCCACTGGGGACTCTTGCCAGTTGGCTCCTGTGTCCCTTTCACATACTCCCATCCTTTGGTTTTGAGCACTGCTTTACTTGCCAGCACTTGGAAATGCTCCATACTCATCTTGTATTTTCCTCTCTCAGTCCTGGAATCAGTCATTTCTCCAAGGAGCCCTGGTTCCTTTTAAGGTGTCTGTATATTCTTTTATGTTTTCTATGGTGACAACCATATCAGCTATAAATAATGACAGTTTTGTCTTTTGCTTTCCAATCTTTATGGCTTTATTTTTCTTGTCGTACTGAGATGACCAGGACATCTAGTACAATGATGACAGCATGCATCCGTGTCCTGTTGTGTATTTTAGAGGAAACACCACTAACTTTTCCCTAGTAAGAATGATACTGTATTTGCTATAGACTTCCTACAGGTTTTATCAGGTTAAGCAAGTTCCATCCTATTACTCTATATTAAGAGGCTTTTATTTTTTTAATAATGAAAGGGTGTTGAATTTTTACCAAATGCCTTTTCTGTTTCTTATGATAATTATATTTTTTTCTCCAATAATCTGATATGTGGTAAATGACATTTATAGATTTTCCTTATGTTAGACCATCTTTGCATTTCTTGTATAAACACAGCTTGGTCATGGTCTTTCATTTTTTATACAGTGCTGGACTCAGGTTGGTAAACAAAAGTTTAGAATTTTGCAACTGTGTCCATGAATAAAATTGGTCTTTACTTTTCCTTTCTTAGGCTGTTCTTAATGGCTTTTGGCATTAAGGTTCTGCTGGTATAGAATGATTCAGAGTGTTCCCTCTTTTACAATATTCTGGAAGATGCTCTGTAACTTTGGAATGATTGGTTTGGTAGAACTCCTGCAAAACCATCTTGGTCTAGTGTTCTCCTTTTTAATACTGAGTTACTATTAAACTTCTAAATTAAAATCTTTTCAAAATTGTAAATAAGAAGGTTGAAATTTGCTGCCATGTTTATTTTATAAGCTTTATGCTTGAAATGGCTACACACAAATCCTGAGCAAGACTTTTTAATGATGCATTCTTCAAATTCTTAACAGTCGCCATCCATAAATGTCTTTCTTTGTACAAGTAGGTGATAAAATATTTAAAGCCAATTTTTAAATGTTTCAAAGATGTTTAACAATTGGAATTATATCTAACAGCTTTTCTTTTTGTTTCACTGACAAGTATATTGTTAAAACTTCTCGTGACGATGTGAGTAGATTTCAAATCCAGTTGAACGCTTTCATATTAACAATTTCAAAATAATGATGAAGCTCTTATTTGCAGAACATGCATCATTATTAGAACCATCACCCTGCAGCTAGCTTGGATACCATTAAAAGGGCTCACCAGCTGCAAACGGATAAAAGTATCTGATACTCGGGAAGACAGAGTTTCAGGGTTTCTACCTGGAGCTACACCCTCCAGAAGCCCCTCCTTGGCCTCCCTGCACCCAGCCCCATCCCAGCCAGTCACATCTTGGGCTGTACGTGGTGTTTCTTGGAAACCGGAACACAGACTCCTCCAGCAGCTCCACAGGCCCCTTGTCCTCAGTGAGCAGAAGACTACAGGAGCTGGCTACTGAAGAGGCTGTCCAAGTGATAGAGCACCTTCTTGGCCCTGCTTAGCACATTTACTGCAGAGCTGGATGCTACTTATTTGTGCTCACCACCTTCAGGGACTGCAGAGGGATTTGTCAGACCCTACTTCACTAAGGGCCACCCTCTAAGGATCTCCAGAAGAGGCTGCCCATAGAGAGAAGTGGCCTGCCTAGGGTCTCCACTGCCTCAGGTCCTACCCGGACACCTCTAGGGCTGAGGGGATCGGTATCTCTTCACCTACCTGTAATCCACATACCAAGTGGAAGAATCTGCCTGCTATTTTTTGTTTGTTTTGGCGGGAAGAGTTTTAACTACTGCTGTAATTCCTTTAGTAGCTATGGAACTGTTGAGGATTTCTTTTTCTTCTTGAGTCGATTTTCGTAAGATAACAGTTTTCTAGGAGTTGGTCCATTTTGCCTGCATTTTCAAATTCATTGGCATCAAGTTTCCTTTTTATTCTCTGCTGTGTATAAACTGTAACGATGTCTCCTTTTTCATTACTGATATTGGTTATTTGTGCCTTCTCACTTTTTTTCTTGATCAATCTCACCAGAGGTTTATCTATTTTATTAGTCTTTTCAAAGAACCAACTTTTGGCTTTGTTGCTCCTCTCTATTGTATCTTTGTTTTCTATTTCTTTAATTTCCGCTCTTATCTTTTTTGATCTCCTTCCTTCCACATTTTTTGGGTTTATTCTGTTGTTCTTTTTCTAATTTCTTTAACTGGACATTGAGCTCATTAATTTTCATTCTTGCCCATTTTCTAATTTGTGCATTTAAGGATATAATTTCCCTCTAACTACTGCTTCTCCATAAGTGTAGATATGTAGTATTTTCATTATTGTTCAGTTATAAGTATTTCATTTCCATCAAGGTTACTTCTTTTACCTGTAAGTTATATAGAAATGTGTTTTTAGATTTCCAAATGTTTGGGGATTTAAAATTTTACCTCTTTGTTATTGAAAGCTGTCTTAATTGCATTATGGTCAGAGGATGTGGTTCGTGTGATAACAACTCTGAAATTTTTTAGACTTGTTTTATGGCTTAGTATGTGACCAATATTTTTGAATGCTTCCTATGTGCTAATTTATAAGAATGTGTGTTCTCTAATTGTTGAATACAGAGATCTGCATATGTCTATTATCAAGTTTGTCCAACTATTGTTCAATTTTTACTTATCTATACTAAGTTTTTGGTCATGATCTACCAATAATTGAAAGAGGTGTGTTAATATTCAACTGTGATGGTGGATTTGGCAATTTCTCCTTGTAATTCTATCTCATTTCTTGCTTTATATATTTCGAGGGTGTTCATTAGGAATATTCAAATTAAGAATTGTTATATATTCCTGATAAATATGTAATGACCCTCTCTATTCCTGATAATGCATTTTTCTTTGAAACCTATTTTATCTTATATTAATGTAGTAACACAAATTTTTCTTGTTGGGATTTGTGTGGTATATAATTTTCCATCCTTTTACTTTTGAGCATTTTCATGCCATCATGCTTTAATTACATCTCTTGGAAACAACATATAACTGGACTTTTTAAAAAATCTAATCTGATGATCTCTTTTAGTTGGCAAGTTTAGTCTGTTTATATTTACTGTGATGTATTTGGGCTTATTTCTACCATCATACTTTTTTATTTCTGTTTACCACCACTACCTTTTTCTATGCTTCATTTTCTCTTTTCTTGCCTGCTTTTTTAGTTTTGAGATTTGTTTTCTTATTCAATTGCTTCCTCCCTATTTTAATTTTTTTTCTATTCTTTCTGTGGTTACCCTTATAAAGTCTAAAGTTAAACAATATTTTAGCCTCCTTCTTGAAGAATGCAGGAAGCTTAGAAACCTTCAACTCTAGTCATTCCTCTCCTCACTACATACTATTGTTTTCAAATATGTTAGTTTGTTCCTTTTTATAAACCTCACAATTATGCATCTTTATCAGTATTACTTTATATAGACAGTGTTTGTTTGGACTTACATGCATACATTCTTGTATCGCAGACCATCCTTTGGGATCATTTTCTTTCATTATGAATATAGTGTTTTAGTGGGTTGTTTTTTTTTTTTTTAAGTACAGGTCTCTTGATGTTAAATTCTTCCAGTCTTTCTTATATGTAAATGTCTTTATTTTATCCTCATTCCTAAAAGATAGTTTGTTACAGGTATTTTTACTCAACACTTAGAATATATGGTTCCATTCTCTTTTAGCTTTGAGAAGTCTTTATTGCTATTAAGAAGTCGACTATCAGACTAATTGCTGGTTTTGTGTGTGTGTGCCTGTGTGTGTAGTAGAATGTGCAGAGGGTCCTGCAGTTTTACTCTAACATGTTTACATACGTATTTTTTTTTATTTATTCTACTTTGGAAATGTCATGTTTCGTGGCTCAGTGGATTCATGCTTTTCATCATTTCTGGGAAATTCTCAGCCATTATCTCTTCAAATATTGCCTTTCGTTTTTTCTAGTTTTTCTTTCTCAGAATACAGTTAGTCATATTTTGGACCTCCTCATTCTGTCTTCCGTATCTCATAACATCTCTGAGATTTTCTATCTCCTTGTCTTCCTGCATTTCATTCTGGATAATTTCTTTAGGTATATCTTTCAGCTTACTGATTCTCTTTTCAATTAACTTTAATCTGCCCATTGAGTTTTTTATTTCAAAAGTTATATTTTTCATTTGTACAAAGCTCATATATTTTACTTGCTAATCTGCCTAGTCATCCCTAATAGTCTCTTATTGCTTGGTCATCTTTGTGATTACATCTGTTACTACTACTTTAAAACATTTTATATACTTTTTGTTCAACCAGTAGTCACTGTTTGCATGAGTATGACATTGTAAATATTGTTCACATCAAAACTACATAGTATATTCTGATTATATATCCTTTGTTGTATACCCTTTTGTTTTCCTTGGAGCTAATAATTGTGTATTTTGTTTTCTTTTGCTTAGTGTTCTAGTACCTATTACTATTCTTCTCTGAAATTCTTTATACAGTCCAAATCAGATCATGTCCTTCCACTATTCAGAATTCTCCCATGGCTCCCACCTCCCTCAACAAAAGCCAAAGCCCTCAACATGGCCCAAAAGTCCCTGTATAATCTGGTTCCCTTTACCTCTCTTACCTTGTCTCCTATCACTCTCAGTATCACTCACTCTTCTCCAGCTACACTGGCCTCCTTGCTATTCCCCAAGCGTGCTAGATACCCTTCCTTTTCAGGGCCTTTGTACTTGTTCTTCTCACTGCCTGGAACACCCTTCCTCCCAAATAATCTGATGAGTTGCCCTAGTACTTCCAGTGTGCTCAAATGTCACCTCCCTAGAGAAGTGTTTCCTGATCAACATATCTAAAATCGCCCCATCACATGCATTTTCTATCCCTTTATCCTACTTTACGTATGTTTTTCTACAAAGCACTGATCACCACCTGGTATATTTTATATTTATCTATTGTGGTTAGTGTTTGTCTCTCTTCAGTAGACTGTAAGCTCCATAAAGCAGGGACTTCTGTTTTGTTCACTGCTGTATCCCCAGTGCCAAAAACAACAGTGCATAGTAGATACTCAATAAATATTTGTGGAACAAACTGAATGAATGGATGAATGACTTAATTGTTAATGTGGAGGATAGAGAGATAAACGCCTGAGGAGGAGGCTAGGCACAAAGGCCTTTAATGCCATGCTAAGGAAGTTGGATATCATTTTTCATAAGGTTGGAGGCTGTGGAGAAGCAGTGAGGATAGCTCCTGGGTTCTTTAGGGAAGCAAGTTCTCAGTTGGTAGGGTTGTGGCAAAGCCCCATATTTTCTGACTGGCTGTACGCCCTAGGGCTCCTGAAGGCAGGCCTGCCTCTTACCCAAATAGCCCTCAAACTGCTGTGTTGTCATGCTGCCTGTTACCTGGTGAAAAGTAAAACCCCAACTCTCATCAGGCTTTCTGATCCCAGCTGTCATCCCCCTTTCTCTTGCGCTGCGAGGAACTGTTTCCTGGTCCCCAGGCCAAGCAGACCACTCTCATTATACTTCACCTGTGGTACTTGGTGGTCGGTAGGGGGCCTGCAGGGGATAGCGTGGAAGCTGGTGTGATGATGAGCTCATAGTAAGTGTTGTTATAATGGGAGATACCTTAGGAGGGTAAGTTACAGCTCAAAAAGTTTTTTTTTTCATTGTCAAAGTGAGAACAGGCTATGTGGGGTTTTAGTCCTGACTTTGCCCCTAACCCTACTGGGGCCTAGTCTGGCTCCAGTGTTTCTGCCTGCCCATGACTCTGGATACTAATTCTATTGTCTAATGTGTGACCTACTCTCCTATTTCTGTCACCTACTAATTTCATCAGCATGCCATCAGAATTATACAGAATGCCATGTATAATTAGCTCCCTGTGGCATGCCAGTAGAGACCTCCCTATCCAGGCCAACATCAATTTATTAATCATTAGCACACTGAGTTTAACTAAACATCCACCTAGCTGTAAGTTCAGTTGAGCAAAATTTGACCACTTAGTATGTGTCAGGCCTCCTCCTGTACACTGAAGACACAGAGATGAACGAGATGTGTTCCCAGACACAGAACCGTAAATTCAGGGCAGTGTGGTCAGTGCAGTAACACTGGTAGGAAGAATAGACTGTGAGAGCCCCTAAGGAATACACAACCCAGCGCAGGGGACCAAGGAAGCTTTCTTGGAAGAGATGGCATATGAACTAAATATTAAAAGATTTAGTTTAACTTTCTAATGTTAAACTGCCCTTGCATTTCTGGGATTAAACTCAACATTTTTATGTTGTATTAAATCTTATTCATTCTGGATGTGGTTTGCTAATAAACTATTTAGGATTTTTGCATCTTTAGCCATCTGTATTTGTCTGGTTAAGGTTATAGTGATCTCATCCAATAAATAAATCAGTTTTCTAGGAATTGGTCCACTTCATGTAAGTTTTCAAATTAATTATATTCTCTTATTTTTTAATTTTTACTATATCTTTTATGTCGTTCATATTATTTGTGCCTTTTCTATTTTTTCTTGTAAGTTTCTCCAAAGATTTTTTTTTAGCGATTGGCCTTGAAAAGCTTACCATACATATTTAACCTAAAGTCCAAAGTTAAACATACTCCCCACCCAAACAATTCACAGACTTTATAAATCTTTAATGTCTCCCAATTTACATGTTATTATGTCTACTATTTTTGTTCCTCCCTTATTAAGGATGACACTAACAATATCATTTTATGCAAACATTGTTTGCTTAAATACTCATTTACCTTTTATTTGCCCACCTTTCTTCTTTTACCTCAGATGTCATTTTTTGGGACGATATTTTTTTCTTCTTCTTTTTTTTTTTTTTTTTTTGAGATGGAGTCTCACTCTGTCGCCTAGGCTGGAGTGCAGTGGCATGATCTGGGCTCACTGCAAGCTCCGCCTCCCGGGTTCACACCATTCTCCTGCCTCAGCCTCCCGAGTAGCTGGGACTACAGGTGCCCGTCACCATGCCTGGCTAATTTTTTTTTTTTTTTTTTTTTTTTGTATTTTTAGTAGAGATGGGGTTTCACCGTGTTAGCCAGGATGGTCTCAGTCTCCTGACCTCGTGATCCACCTGCCTTGGCCTCCCAAAGTGCTGGGATTACAGGCATGAGCCACTGCGCCCAGCCTGATTTTTCTTCTTCTTGAAATACATACAGAACTTTAGAAAATCCTTTAGTGTGGATCACTTAATTGGAAACTCTTAGTCTGTGTTTATCTATAAATGCCTTTTTTTCCCTTCATTCTTCTTAAAAGATGGGTTTGCTAGGTACCTACTTCTAAATTACCTTTTTTAGAAGGATATTAAACACTGACACGAAGAGGACATTATGACACTCTCATCTGGTTTCCATTATTACCGTTGCAAAGTCTACTGTCACTCTAAGTTTTTTTTGTAGGTGTTCTTTTTCTCTGGCTGCTTTGAAGGTCTTTTGGTTATTGGTTGACTCTATAAGATCTTTTTAGTTGGTGTTGTCTTGCAAATGTTCCTTTTTATAGCTTCCTAATCTTGCCCTATGAATGCAGTGTTTTCTTGTTGCTCTGATGATATTAAATAATAATGTCTTTTTAAAAAGTGTTCTCCCTACAATTTTATGTATTTATTTATTTATTGAGACAGAGGCTCCAGACCCAGGCTGGAGTGCAGTGGCACGATCTCATCTCACTTCAACCTTCGCCTCCTGGGTTTAAGTGATTTTTCTGCCTCAGCCTCCCAAGTAAGTGGGATTACAGGTGCCCGCCATCACACCCGGCTAATTTTTAGTAGAGACAGGGTTTCACCGTGTCGGCCAGGCTGGTCTCAAACTCCGGACCTCAAGTGATCCGCACACCTTGGCCTCCCAAGGTGCTGGGATTACAGGCGTGAGCCACCGTGCCCAGCCCTACATAATTTTTGTTTCCAAACATATATATTTCGTTGTCAGCAGCAGTGAGAAACTCACTGACACCAGATTTGGCCAAAGGCACCACAGATAACACAAGCATGACATATTCTGAAGCCTTAGAAAGAATCTGTATGAATAATGGGCGGGGGGGGGGCTCTACTGTGTGCAAACATGGGTCAGTGCCACAGTTCTGTCACTTGCAAGTATGTTAGTGCAGTGGACTTGAGCCAGACTGCCTGGATTCAAATCCCAGAGCTGGTCAAGTCACTTGACCTCAAATTTCTGTAGTTTCTTCTGTAAAAATGGGGATAGTAAGTAGTGTTACAGGTCTTTCAGAATTTGTCTAGCAGGCATTCTGGTTTTTGCTGAAAGCCCCCTTAAAAAATAAATAAAACAAAAATGGGGATAGTAGTAATATGTACTTCATAGGATTATTGAGGGTATTAAATGGGTTAATCTACATAAAGTATTTAGAATAATGCATGGCATGTAGTAAGCACTGTATATGTGTTTGCTATTACTACCATTATTACTTTTGCGACAAGGGAATTGAAGGAAGAAGAGCTTCTATGGTGCAATGAGGAAAGGAGTATATCCTGCCCTAATATCTTGGATATAAAAGCCATCCACAAAAAAACAAGGTCAGGAATTCAAAGGGGTTACTTGGGCACCTTAGAGTGTGGGATATCAAGTAGGCAGTCAGAATGGGATAGAATTCTTCAGTGAGAAGTATTGGCTATTTCCTTTTTGGAGCAGAGCAGTACCATATGGGAGAACAGTGACAGAGGGATAATCTAGGCTCAGGGGATTTCTTAAGCAGTTAATAATGCTTTCTCTCTTAGGAACTAACCTGTCAGGTACTGAGAGGCTTTGAAGATGGCTCTTCAGGTTGGGGACACGCCTTTGTTAAGGGGCAAGACTGCTGCCTGGAGTTGATTCACATACTCAGAGGTAGGATTGACCACATAAAGAAAATGCTTTCAAGTCTTTGTTCTGAATTTTCTTCGACCCTCCGTAAGTTTGGGGAAAGTCCCACCCTCAGTAACCACCTCAGTAACCATCCCAGACACAGTGTAGAGGATATGAACAGGCAGAATGGGGCATCTGGAAAACAGGTGCATCGTGGGGAGGCCAATCTGAGGAGCCATTAGTATTAAAATGGAAAGTTCAAGAGATACAAAAATTCTAAAAAAACTTTATCAAATCAAATCCAATAATGTATTACAAGGATAATGAATCATAACAAAATGGATTTTATCCCAGGAATGCAGGATTGGCTTGGCATTAGAAAATCAATCATGCAATTCAACATATTAACAAACCAAAAAGGAAAACCCATATGATTATTGCAATAAATGCAGAAAAAGCATTTGACAACATCTGACATCCATTCCCGAGTTTAAAAAACAAAAACTCTTGGCAAATGAGAAATAGAAGGGAACTTCTTCAATCTGATGTGGGCATCTGCAAAATAACCCACAGCTAACATTATATTTACTGGTGAAAACTGAGTGCTTTCCCCCCAAGATCAGAAACAAAACAGAGATGTCCACTCTCACCACTTCTATTCAGCATTATACTGAAGGTTCTAGGCAGTGCAGTCAGGCAAGAAAAAGAAGCAAAAGGCATCCAAATTGGAAAGGAAGAAGTAAAACTGTATTTACAGAAAATGTGATCATCTATGTAGAAAATCCAACTGAGTCCACCAAAAATAAAACCCTACTAGAACTAATAAGTGAATCCAACAAGTTGCAGGTTATAAGAGCAATATACAAAAATTAGTTGTATATCCATATACTAGCAATGAACAATTGGATACAGAAAATTTTAAAATACCATTTACAATAACATCTAAAAATGTGACTTAGGAATAAATCTCACAAAAGATGTGGGAGACCTATACACTTGTATTGCTGAGAGAAAGAGGAGCCAAATTAATGAAAAACATTCGTGGGTTGGAAAACTTAGTATTGTTATAATGTCAATTCTCCCCAAATTGATCCATAGATTAAATGTCATTCCTATAAAAATCTCAGCAGGCTTTTTGCAGAAATTGACAACCTGATCCTAAAATTCCTATGGAAAGACACTACAGTGCCTGGTACAGTGTGTAGAAACCCTGGGTAGGGTTCAGCTTTCCCAGAGAATTAGGATTATCAGTGGAGCACATATAGAGAGGAAAAACAGTGACAGGGCCTCCAGTTGCAAACAGGTCTACAAAGGATATGAGCAAGCAATTTCCTGAAGTGGAAAACCCAAAAAGCTAACAAGCCTAATAAAAGACGTTCAAATGTATTAACAGAAAAGTCTAAAATAAAACTACAGTGAGATTTTACTTTAGATTTCACAAACAGACAAAATTTTAAAAAGCTGGATCATGCCAAGTCCTTTAGTGGGGATATGGGGGCATAGGGACCCTCTTGCATTGGGAGTGGGGACTTTGGCAGCCATCCCAGAGATGAATGTGACACTATCCCCATGGGCCCTCCAAATAAATTCTCACACAGGTCCATAAAGGGTCATGTAGAAGAATGTTCATTATGGTGTGGTTTGCAACAGTGGGAAGTCGAAGGCATGCTGGGTGTCCATCACCAGGGGCATACACAGGGAAATAGTGATGGGTGCACTCCACAGAGGACCTCTTAACCTTTACACCAGTGAGTTAGATGTACACAGGGCAACACGATGATCTTCAACACATAGCACTGAGTGAAAAAGAATGAACCGTATAACAATACTACTCAAAAGTTACAAATATATGCACATATACACCAAATACACACCTTACAGAAATGCACACAAATGGATGTAAGTTAAACACTTTTGAAAAATGCCTATGTCAGGGAGAGGGGAGGAATGGGAGCGTGGATGACAGGGAATAAATAAAACAAGAAAGCGGTGGAATTGCCAGGCACAGTGGCTCACACCTGTAATCCCAGCACTTCGAGAGGCCGAGGTGGGCAGATCGCTTGAGCCTAGGAGTTCAATTCCAGCCTGAGCAACATAGTGAGTTCTCATCTCTACAAAAAATACAAAATTAGCCAAATGTGGTGGTGCATGCCTGTGGTCCCAGCTACCAGAGGGGCTGAGGTGGGAGGATCGCTTGAGCCCAGGAGTCTGAGACTGCAGTGGGCCGAGATTGCATCACTGCACTCCAGCCTGGGTGACAGAGTGAGACCCTGTCAAAAAGAAAAAAAAAAAGAAAAGAAAAGAAAAAAGAAAGAGGGGAGGAGAAAAAAACAAGCAGAAAGTGTCTGTTCCCTTGGCCTAGTCACCCACTCCCCATGGCATTCATCCTTTAGAGTCTACTCCACTGAGGAGGAAACAGCCACACCTACACTCTGTTAACCTGAGGTCAGAATGCCCAGGTGAGCCTGGCTCAGACGATCTGTACTCGGCTGGTTTTGAGTACGTGCTGCTGCGGCTCCTGCACACCCTCCCACCAGCACTGCAGCTGCCTGGAGCAGGTGTGGACATGCATTTCACCCCACAGAAGTTGCCTGCTGTGATCTACTATTAAGGGTGGGGGCTGGTCACAGAGTTTGGAAGTAAAGAGTTAGAGCGGCCCACTCCCCATCAAACCATATGGTAACCAGACCATATGGTAACTAATTTCTGGTCCGCCCAACAGTCCTGCTAGTGCCCTGACTATGCTGAGACATGGGTGTATTTTCCTGGCCTCATTTAGAACCTTACCCTCTGACTTCCCCAGAAGCAGCTCTTGTAAACTCTTAGGGAAACTGAAGCCAGACTCACTATGACTGAGAGATTCTCTTCAGCTTATCCTCTCCTGGACTCTTCACCTAATTATACCAATACTGCCCCTTCCCACCAGCCAGATGCATGCTTGCCATTTGGTTTTCAAAACAAAACAATACCTTGTTCAGTGATACATACATGGGAGGTAAAATTTTCTCAAAAGCAGGCCAGGCACAGTGACTCATGCCTATAATCCCAGCACTTTGGGAGGCCGAGGCGGGCGGATCACCTGAGGTCAGGAGTTCGAGACCAGCCTGGGCAACATGGAGAAATCCCGTATCTACTAAAAATACAAAAATTAGCCGGACGTGGTGGCATGTGCCTGTAATGTCAGCTGCTCAGGAGGCTGAGGCAGGAGAATCACTTGAACCCAGGAGGTAGGTTTTGCAGTGAGCTGAGATCGTGTCATTGCACTCCAGCATGGGCAACAAAAGTGAAACTCTGTCTCAAAAAAAAAAAAAGAATTTTTTTTTTTTTTTTTTTTTTTTTGCAAAAATTGAGGAAATGAGAACATAAAGGTCAAGGTAGTGGTTTCTTCTGGGCAGGGGAAGGAGATGAGGGATCCACAGTTGGCTTCTCAAACTCTATAATGTTCTAGTTCTTAAGCCAGCTGGTGGGTAGATGGGTGTTTTCTTATATGTCTTTAAACTGAACATGGAAGTTTTCAGAACTTTTTTCTATGTTGAATACATTTAAAAGTTTGAAAGCAACACAAAGAGATTTCAAACCCGATAATATTTGCATTTATCAGAACACATAGAATCAAAGAGAATGACAATAATCACAATGGAATATCTGCCTATGAGGGGGAGGGTGTTGGAAACGGGAGTGAGGAATGAAGGTAAAGTAGAGTAAATACATGAATAAGTAAATTAAAAGATACGCATTTTACTGATCAAAGATAACAATGTAACATGACCAGTAGAGTATAGCTTCCTCCACCTTCTGCACCTGAGATTCAAAGGAAAAATAAATACTGAACATGATCAAGAAACCGGACCTAATAAATCTGATTGATCCAAAACCAACAGGTACAAACTTAAATCACCTGAGTACCCAAAAGATTATTATAATCAAGTAAATCATTGCAACAGAAAGTTTTCTGAGGTGAAGGATTTTGAAGGCTCCTTCAAAAGTTGGTCATTTCTCCAAAGTTTTGGCAGGATTGCTTCCCAACATTCCTAAAGGATTCAGATGGGGCCGTCGGTTCATTAGCCCATTTCACAGTAAAACTCAAAACCCAGTGGAGAAAGCAGGGGACTGAACTCATGTCCCTACAAGAGCAAAAGACCAAACCTTCATACCTTAGAAGTACAGCCCCATGTTGAACCATGTCTTGGAAATTGCCTCTGTAGCTTCAACACAAACAAAAACCTGGCTGTTGGAAAAATGTGTTTGATTTAACCTCAGCCATCCTTAGACTACAAAAGAATCATGGGGGTTATATTGAGTCTGCTTGGATCACCCCTAGCCACACTCTTCCTCCTTTTGTCCCCTAATCCTAGTGTCCCTATCTCCACTGATGAGCAAATGGACATTTCCCCTCAACACTGAGGTCACGTATTCTGCCTTGTCTCTGCACTCAGGTTGCCTCGCCAGATCTGCTGTGGGCTGCAGTTTTAGTTGAGATCATGTTAGTTAGTTAGTTCTTATCTTTTGAAATGGCTTTCTGTTACCATAGGATGCTTCACTGAGGTATGTGCCTTCCTGCCTAACCTTGTACGTCTACTGATGTATCAGATAGACATGTTCCTTGCAAACTAAACGTAGTAATGTGCTGCAGGCCAGTTGGAGTATCACCGGATCTCCGCATGCCATTTGTGTCACCCTGGTGTGACCCACAGTAACTATCTTTATGGGTTAAGCCCTTCCTGAAGTCCCAGCCAACTTGTGGACAGCTGACTTTAACAAGGGAGGGCAGCTGCTTAGGATGCTCCCGTTAAAATCAAAATCACACAGCACCTGTTGCCATCTTCTAGCCCTAGTGTCCACTTTCCATACTGGCAGAAGAGGAAAATGAGCCTATCATCAATGTCCTCCTCAAACTGGGTGTCTTTTTTTTTTTTTTTTTTTTGAGACGGAGTCTCACTCTGTCGCCCAGGCTGGAGTGCAGTGGCCGGATCTCAGCTCACTGCAAGCTCCGCCTCCCGGGTTCACGCCATTCTCCTGCCTCAGCCTCCCGAGTAGCTGGGACTACAGGCGCCCGCCGCCTTGCCCGGCTAGTT